CCGGTAAGGAACATGCTTCCGGTAAGGATCGTGCTTCCGGTAAGGAACATGCTTCCGGTATGGATCGTGCTTCCGGTACCGGATCGGGTAGTGACAGCTGGCAGGCAGACCAAGTTTCTCTCTTCTTCTTCTTCTGTGGATTTTTTGGCCTCATCTTCTTCTAGTTTTTCTTCCATTCTCTACGTGCCTAGGAACATTTCTGGAAGCAGCTTGAAAACCTGAAAGTTTTCAGCTTGTTTTTACTTGAATTACTAATTCAAACATTTTCTAACTAAACAAACAGGAACATAGACATAGATTAATTCACTCATTCTTTGATAAGAATAAATGCAACAGTCGATAAAACCTCAGTAATAATGAACGTGTAAAACTGTCAGGAAGCTGGAAACTCAGACCAGTTTTGGCCCCTCTGGTCAAAGCGGTATTCATGACTGCCTGCTTTCATTACATCAGCAGCAGAAAGCGGAGCTCCTGTGGACGATGCCTCAGTAAGAAAAGCTTTTCGCTGCATCAGAGCGGAAAGTTTTCCCATTAATCATCCGGCTCGTCCTTGACTGGGAGAGAGAGCGGATGGGAAGCAGCCTGACTGCCTGTCCCAGGAAAACCTAACTCCCAGTTGCTCCTGTAGACCAGCGCTGGTGATTATACTGGGCACCAAGCAGGATGAGGATTACTGGAAGAAAGATGATTCCTCGTCCACTAAGAATGTTTAAATAAATCAATGAGTCATCTGGTTTTTACAGGCTGCTGTTAACACTTACTGCTGGTGATTACAGCCTGATTGTTTATAGACGGGTTTTTTCCTCTGCTGCAGGTTGGTCGCAGCGACAGACGCCTGGACCCACCACTGGAACAAGCACGCTAATGCGCATCACGCTACAGGTCATGGAAAATAGCTGGAGCTCAGATGGAGCTGCGGCGCTTCATCATGGCTGCGTTAGAAACCAACGGCGGTAAACACATAAATCCGCCCAGAGAGGCAGCTTCCTGTCATGGATCACCTGGTGGAGCGGGCGGCACCAGCAGAACCCCGAGACGTCAGAAAAGGCTCCAGCTGGATGTGGACGTCTTCAGAGCGCATTGAGTCACTCCCTAGAAGAGGGAACGGCTGTAATTCACCGTTTATCACCTCAGAGAACATCCTGACCTGCTGCGATCTGCCAGTTCTCCGTCTGCTTCTCATTCCTTCCCCTAAAAGGAGGGACGGATCCGTCTGCGAGCTTCATGGGTGGCAGCTCGGACTAACGTCACGGGTCAGGAGTACGCCATCGACCGGGATCAGGACTGCGGCGCTCCATGATGTCGGAATGAAGTCCGACCTCTAAAGCCAGGGAGAATTTACAGCTTCAAAGATTAAAAGGAGCAGTTTGTTTTTACTGCGACCTGAAAGTAAAGGATCAGAACCAGAGATGGGATCTTTGTTAA